GGCGGGTCCGGGCTGGGGATTCGAACCCGCCACCTTAAGTGTACGTGGCTGGCACCTTAGCCGGTTGAGCTATAGGCGCCGAGCCTGTGATGACATTTTCAAGAAAACAGTATCATTATAGTGAACTTTGGGCAAAATCTCTCAAGACTAAAACCATATAAAGGAGAACCAATAATTGATCTTGGTCCAGAACTACACTGACCTCTGAGTTAATTAACCTAAGAGTTAAGACAATCTCTTTGGTTCTCTGGAAAAAGTGAATGATTTGGGAAACCAGATCTTCTGTACTAGAAATATAAAGGAAGTGCTATACTACCGTCTAGGTCACTCTAATGGGACTAAGAAAAATACCTTGTCTTTGCATATTTAAATTATTTTAAAAGAGAGTAAATGGAAGAACTTCAACATTAGGACTTCCTCATGTAAGAAGAAAAATACAAATTGAACAAAATACACCCACATCCTAAAATCATAACACAGCCTAAACCAAGAACAGCAACAAAATTCTGTTTTACGTATGTCCAAGATAATACTCACTGAAAGTAGAAAGTTTGTATTGCCAGAGGAATAGCTACAACAGAGGGGAGCTATTTTGTCTCTGGAATAAATCTTCTTCCTTCCAATTCCATTCCTTCTTCCTGTACCTAAGATGGAAATGCAGGTGCAATGAACAAACAAAATCAAGGTAGTACAGAAGATACAGTTTCTGAGAAACTACAATTCAATACAGCAATTTCTGGGGAGTTAAAAAAAAAAAAACTACAGAAGAGGCTCTCCTTAACTTCAAAACATTTCAAACTCTAAGTGAGACAACAGAGGTAGTCCCATGCCCTGAGTCACCTCATCCTTGGCATCATCACGGAGAAAGGAAGACACTGAGGTTTTATTGAACCAGAGCATCAGATTAAATCTTCTCCCATCACCAATTTAGATCAAAAGTTGCTCCTAAACCAGGATATACCATTTCAAAGCTCCCCAGTGGTTTCAGAATACAAACATTTTCCCCAATCCTCTGCAAAACCAGTAGTGAAGAAATACTGTACAGCATGCCAGAGCCTGACCTGAGGACAAGCCATCATGTTATGCCAAGAGGAGATAACTGTTGGTAAGAGACATCCATCCTTACTCTTAATTTTGCACAAATCTCTACATAATTTCTTCACCAACTCTCCCCATTCCCCAGAAGTCGAGAGCTATTCCCAAGGATGTAAACAGGAGACTTTGAGGCTCCACCCACTCTACCCTAGGAGAGGGCAGTGAAAGAAGATAAGGCCCAGAGGGACAGGATAAGGGAGTGAGGCACAGAGTTCAGATCAGGACAGGGAACACAGGAGGGCAAGGAGTGAAGGGCAAAACCTGAGCTCAGCCTGGGGAGGAGACAAGCATAACACCCAGAGAGTAAAGTGGAGGGATAATGGAAATGGGGGGGCCGGGGTGCTTAAGGAGGAGGGCCTAAGTGCGGTAGTGGAAAAAAGAAAGAGGAAGGAGAGAGAAGGCGCGCGTGTGGAGAGTTAAGAAAAGGAGAAGACAAAGTGGAGAGAGGAGAGGCCGGGGTGGGGAGGAGAAAATCCAGCAGAAGGAAAAGGGGAGAGGTAAGAAAAAAGGATGTGAAAAGAAGAGCACGGAGCGCTGGAGGAGTTGGGGAGACGACAGAGCGACGGGTAGAGCAGCTTGGGCCGAGCCGCGGGGGTGGAATCCAGACGCCGGGCGGGGGAGGGGGGGAGGGGGCGGTGGGACGGTGGGTGGGGGCCACCAGGCGGCGCCGGAGACCACCAAACTTTACACAGACCCGCGACTGTTTCCTGGAGGGAGCGCAGAAAGAGCAGAAGCTGGACGCGGCCCGGGGCAAGGGCAGTCGCCCACCGCCTCACAGCAATACCTCGCGACACCCCTGAGAGAGACCCAAGGCCCGAGGCCCCTCCCGCCTTCCTTCACGCCGCCCGGGAGCCCCTCCCCCACGCTGCCCCGGGACCCTTGACCCAGGATCCCGGGTATTCACTCCGGGTCCCTCCGCCCGCCCAGGAGCGAGCAGGCCTGGCGGGCACGGCAGCTGCGGCTCGAGGGAGGCCTGGCCCGACGGCGGCGGCGGAGGAGGGCGCGGCACAAGCCAGAGTTTCCCACCTTTTCTCCTGGCCCAGACGCGGCTTGGGCGGACGGGACCTCTCGCGCTCTGCCTCCTCCTCCTGCTTCATGGAGCCATGCGCCTGGGTGAGGGCTACCAAGAGAAGCGGGCCCGCGGGTGGGCCAGACGCGCGGCGCGGACGGGGCGGGGCAAAGGAGCCTGGCGGGCGAAAGAGGAAGCGCCGGGGCGGCGGCAGTGGCCGGGAAGAACTAGAGGTATTCCCCGGGTGGCTGGAGGACTGAGTCGAGCTGGGACCCGAGTCCTCCAGTATCCCAGCAGCCACCGGAGGCAGTGAGGTAATGGAGGAAGAATGTAGGGAGTCCTCCAGTGGACCACACGCCCTCTAGCGAGCCACGAAAACCATAGAGATGAGGAAGCCGTCGGAGCACCGCCCCGATACCATCACGTGGTTTTAATCCAGGCACTTTATTGGCTGGCTCTGGCTCTATGGAGTTGAATTTTCGAGGCTGCTTTTCATTTGTGGAGCTGAGTCTCAGACGTTCAGGTTAAAGAGGAGCTCGCAGAGAGAATGAAAGAAGGCCAGCCTCGCTTTCCCGGCGCAGAGGGGACCGAACGGGCTGATGAGCGGTCAAGCCGCCTGGCGCAGTGCACGCCGGGCCGCCCCGGCCTCCGGGAGCTGAGGCAGAGCACGCCGGGAGTCGTAGTTCGGTCTTGGCTGGTGGCATTGTCCGCGGCTCGGTCAAGGTGCGGTCGGAGTCGCTAGTTGCTACCTAGCTGCCGGATCTTCTCCCACGTTAGCGACCCGCTACTGAGTACCAGCGGTTCTAGCTCGGGTCACTTTGCCAGACCCTCCCGCAGCCTTCGAAAGCAGCATGGAAGGGGCAGCTCAATCCAACCTTAAATCAAGCCGACGACGGCTGTGGCCGGGCCCGCGGCGAGGTGTGCCAGGTTCAGGGCCAGGCGCTCGCACCTGACCTAGCCAGCCTCTTTATGCACAGGGGAAGGACGAATTCACCCAGCCAGGGCGGCATTAACTCATGTCATGAGTCCATCACTATCATTCATTCTTCAACTCGCAGCTAGATACAACTTCATTTGGAATGCCTTCTGTGCAGGATTATTCAGTAGGCCAACTAAGCACATTCTTCAGCACTAGCAGAGCAAGGCCCTCAAAAAGGACATCTTTAAAAGAAATTTGGGAGTGAATAATTTAAATTTCAAATACCTATTATTTTCGACAAGATTTGATCTTACAGCAGCATTTTTATTCAATTATACATGTAGATGAGGTTGAACTAAAAGTCGTATTTCTACCCTGTGCCCTGACCCTAGCAGCTCCATACACCGTTAGGCCCTGCAGCAAAGACAAGCCCTGTTTTGAACCAATTGTGGTTAAAAAAAGGACTCAAGCCCACAAATTCTGTGTTTTGTTTTCCTGTTGATGCATAAAGGAAGGAATCCTTAACAGTTTGTCCTAATAGACCAAAGAAAAGTATATAGTAAAAAATGCAAATTATATCTAACAGTGAAGCTTTCCAGCAAAAACCTTCTGCTCTAGAACGCATAATGTATGCAAGCATAATAAGATGCTTGCATACATCTACTACTGCAGACTTTTAGCATAATTACCTGTAGGCAACAAAACCCAAGGCAATTGAGTGGTGCCTCTTCGACCTGGAGTTCTCGAGGAGAACAGGCGAGAATGGAAAAGACAGGTATGCTTTGTATAACAAGAGATGACTTTTTTATAAAAAGAAGCAGTTTCTGTAGGAGTCTTTGCAATTTCTGTCACAGATTTGATGTGTTTATCTGCTTTTGAGGCCATATTGACACTTTCTAACCTTCTCTGTTTGCCTGAAAAACTACAAATTAGATGATCATATGGCCTAGAGCCAGAAGTATAGGAGGCAGAAAGCCAGAGTCCAAGTTTTTTGTTTCTGAATAAGAAAGCCAAATCCTGACTTAAAATAATCCAAATAAATTTTACGTAGCGAAGGTCTTTCCAGCTGAAAGTCTTAAAACACAGCATCTGGAAAAAGGCCTTAGTCTATTGCTCCCAAGGTGGTATTATACAGCTAGTAAGCAGCCCACAGATAAGGGAGTTATTGCTCCTTGGTTATCAAACTCCAGGAGGTAAATGATGGAACTTAAGTTGGACTTGAAATACTCCCAAATTAAAACAAAAACAAACCTTGCTTTGAGCTGTTGAAAAGTCATTTTATTGAGAAATAGGATCCAGATGCTACTGCTGTTTTTAACTGATGCTGAAAGGCAAAGGGTCAAGACTTAGAAAAAAGTCACTTCCAGGTCACATCAGCTGGCAGTAATCTGAACTGATGCAAAGATAAAGAGAATGAAATTATAAACAAGGGGAAGAAACTGAAGGCAGTAAGTGCCACAAATATGGAAAAGGCTGTGTCTTATTTACTCATTTCCTGTACTTAATACAGAAACCTGTTATATAACAGGCATACAATTATTATTTGTAGCTTGACTGAGGAAAGAAGGAGAACACCAACAAGCAAGGAGCAGATAATATATTTGGGAAAGACAACTGCACAAAAGCTGGGTGGCTCACGCCCTCTACATGGTCCTGAAATGTCACCTTAATCTGCTGTCATACAGCAGTACTACCCATTATCAAAATACCCTAGAACAGGCTGGGTACAGTGGCTCATGCCTATAATCCCAGCACTCTGGGAGGCCAAGCGGGTGAGTCTCCTCAGCTAAGTAATTAGAGATCAGCCAGAACAAGAGCGAGATCTTGTCTTTACTAAAATAGAAAAACTAACCAGGCATTGTGGTAGGTGCCTGTAGTCCCAGCCACTTGGGAGCCTGAGGCAAGAGGATTGCTGGAGAACAAAAAACGGAGGTTGCTGTGAGCTATGTTGATGCCACAGCACAGCACTCTACCCAGGGTGACAGTGACACTCTAAATAAAAAAAGAGGAGGAGGAGGAGAAATGCCCCCAAACAAATCTATCTCCCTGATCTACAGCTTTCTATACTTTTTTACCTTAAATGGCTAATCTGGTAATGATTAAAAGAGTCTACTCTAGAATCTGTATGGAATTCAAATTCTAGCCCTGACACTGAATGCCTGTAAACAAATTACTATGTTAGGTAATTCAGGCTTATCATTTGTAAAATTTCTAATGATAAGCCTGAATTACCTAACATAGTAATTTGGAAATTACTATGGTAGGAAATTTAACACCTACCTCTTATAGGTGTTACAAGGTTTAAATATCTGTAGCCAGATGTGACAGGCACCTGTAGTCCCAGCTACTTGGGAGGCTGAGGCAAGATAATTGGTTAAGCCCAAGAATTTGAGGTTGCTGTGGGCTGTGACACCATGGCACTCTACTGACGGTGACATAGTGAAACTCTATCTTAAAAAAAAAAGATTTAGTGGCGGTGTCTATGGCTCAAAGGAGTAGAGCACCGGCCTCATATGCCGGAAGTGGTGGATTCAAACACAGCCCTGGCCAAAAACTGCAAAAAAGAAAAAAACATTTAAATATTCACAAACCTATACATTGTAAAGCTTTTATAGGGTTAACATGGCAAAAAATGCTTGATAACTGAGCTTCATGAGTATTTGAATATTGAAATTACCATAAAGTTAGTCTCTACCCTAGGTATACTCATTCTTTTGGAGTTGTACCTTGTATGACTACATTGATGAGCTTACCAGGAATAAGGAAGTAAGGTCTCACAGGCAATCGTGATGGGTATGCAGATTTTCCCACTTTTCAAGTTGAAGTGAGTCTGGCTTTGGTTGGCATCTGTGCTCTGCTGTCCACAAATGGCAGGTCCTGGGAGATGATTGTCTCCTCCAGAAGCACTATCCTCTGTGAAAGTGTCCATTCGAGCACTTAATCTGTGCAGGCTTGGGCCCTGTAGCCCAGTGGTTACAGCGCCAGCCACATATGCTGAGGCTGGCGGGTTCGAACCCAGCCCAGGCCAACTAAACAACAATGACAACTGTAACAATAACAAAAAAAAAATAGCCAGGCATGGTGGCAGGCACTTGTACTCCCAGCTACTTAGGAGGCTGAGGCAAGAGAATCACTTAAGCCAATAATTTGAGGTTGCTGTGAGCTATGATGATGACATTGCACTCTACAGAGGGTAACATAGTGAGACTGTGTCTCAAAAAAAAAAAAAATGAAATCTTTGTATATACAGATGTGTACATGAGGTTAACTATTTCATAAATATAGTTTAAATCAACTGATAAGACCCACAGGATTGTTTGTTAAGCCATATTACTTTGAGAAGATTTTTTTTTTTTTTTTAGAGACAGAGTCTCAAGCTGTTGCCCTGGGTGGAGTGCTATGGCGTCACAGCTCACAGCAACCTCAAACTCTTGGGCTTAAGCGATCCTCTTGCCTCAGCCTCCCAAGCAGCTGGGACTACAGGTTCCCACCACAACGCCTGGGTATTTTTTTGTTGCAGTTTGGCCTGGATAGAGTGCAGTGGTGTCACAGCTCACAGCAACCTCAAACTTTTAGGCTTAAGCGATTGTCTTGCCTCAGCCTCCCAAGTAGCTGGAACTACAGGCAGCCTCCACAATGCCTGGCTAATTTTTTTTTATCGTGGTTGTCATTGCTGTTTTAGCAGGCCTGGGCCAGGTTCAAACTCGCCAGCCTCAGTGTACGTGGCCAATTCCCTACCTACTGAGGTACAGGCACTGCCTGAATTCACTAATCTTAAGTGTACAGCTTGACTGGTTCTTACATTAGTATCCATCCATGTAACTCCATCCAATTTAACATGTATAATATTTCCAACAACTCAGAAAGCTCCCTTCTAGTTACTAATCCCTCCTCAAAAGATAACCCTTATTCTGACTTCTATCACCGTGGAATAGTTTTGCCTGCTCTTTAATGCCATGGACATTTGAATGAATTCACACAGTATGTACTCTTATGTCTGGTTTCTTTCATTATGCCAAGAAATGAATCCCTTTTGTTATATGCAACTGTAGTTCCTTCTTTGCTGCATAGAATACTGTGCCATTCAATACACATTGAATTATTACTATTCAATACCTATTGAAGGGATAGGCCACCATGTTTTCCCATTATTATTATTGTTGTTGTTGTTATTATTAATGAGACAGAGTCTCACTTTGTCACCTCAGTAGAGTGCTCTGGCATCGTAGCTCACAGCAACCTCAAACTCGTGGGTTTAAGTGATCCTCTTGTTTCAGCCTCCCAAGTAGCTGGGACTATAGGTTCCTGCCACAACACCCAGCTATTTTTAGAGACAGGTTCTCACTCTTGCTCAGGCTGGTCTCAAACTCCTGAGTTTCAGCGCTCCACCCACCTCAGCCTCCCAGAATGCTAGGATTACAGGCATGAGCCACTCTACCCAGCCTCCAATGTTATTTGTAAGCAATCTGGTTCTCTGAG